AACAATTGCAGTCTCTCAAGCACTAGTCTACTGCGTTCAAGAAACTACACAAAGGGCCTATAAATTGATGTGTTCCTAATAAATCAACGTACAGACAGTGTGCCGTATAAGCAGATGTTTCAAAAAACTAAATAATTTCACGATACAAAGTGTCTGTAAGTGTGGCACACTTATTGTTAAAGTAAACGATGTTAACAATTAACAGAAACGGTCTTTTTGTGTTTTTATACAATGTTCATTAGGAGTATCTGATGGGGCCGCCTGGGCAGCGCGTGAAGCGCGTCCCTGCGTCTTGCGGGCCCCCGATGTTAGGGGAGAGGACGGGTGGAACATATAAGGGAACAATTCCGATCGTAATTTTTCTGTAAAATAAATAAGTTACAAAATTAAGTCAAGCACCTACTCAAAACTCAGGCGGGGACACTAAAGTGTGTTTTACTATCATCGCCAACCCCTCACCAAACCAATGGTGAGCGTGTATATGTCGGGGGAGTGCGCCACAACTTCAGGCGAGGTCACTGAGGTACATTTTCTAGTGGTACCTTCAACATCAATTAGGAAAATGTTAACACAGTATACAAATTGTAAGATTGCGGAAATAACTATTCTTAAAATTGGTAAATAAGTGATTATTTCTTGGTTAATTTAAAAGAAGAAATTTGCTTCATATGCTGAGTAAACCGGTCATTCTATGCGGCGGTCTTCCAAGGACCACTCTGCCGTTCAATGCCATCATCAAATCACTGTTGGATCGACGGATGGCGTGTAGAAAACTGGAAGATTGTGGGCTTTTTTAACCTACTTTAAAAAATGAGTAGGTGGCTATAATGCATAAGGACCTTTCGAAGACCCCTCTTGGAAACCCTGCCAAATGTTCTTACTTCCGTGAAGACATTAACAAATTTATACAGTTTCCATAGTCATATGTCTCCAAACTCGAATTTTACAATCGAACCGCATGATGTGTAGATAAGGGACGTTTGATATTTTTTAATGGTTCGGTGCACAAAAACCCCCTGTTAATGAAAAAATCGTACTGGAAAACTAGTGCCAGATTTTCGGTTAAAAAGGTATTTGGCGTAGCAGGTAGATATAATATTCCACTTAAAAACGTGTTGTCAGGTTTTTGGCAATAATAAAAGGGGCGCATAAATAGTAGAGCAGTGGACCACTACTCAGAGGTTCTGATTGACTTTTCGCCAATAAGCTGCAGTAAAAGATTCGTTTTATAAGACATATCCAATACACATATGTGTTTAACTCGACTACAGTCACCAATTAGAAATTATGGGTGTAGCGTAAGCAGTACTTGACGGTTGTATTTATCGATGATCTCACACCGAACTGCAACTTTTGTACTGCCTTCTTATGCCATGATAAAAGGTTTGTAAAAGTAAGGTTAATATGGTTTCTATGTAAGTTTAAGAGAAAAGAAAGTGTACGCCATTGCACCTTTTATATATACACCACCCTTCACACAAGTGCAGGAGTATTCAATATGTTTTTTTGCATAACTCATTAAATGCTGAACCTATATATTAAAAGTTGATTTGAATATGTGCTTTTCTGTTTTACTTCCTTGAAAATGCTCACATACATGTAAAAATAGTCAGTTGCCCGTGGTTTGGTTTGGAATGAACCCAATTCCATTATATATAAGGAAGTATACGCAGATTCGATCATTTCGGACGGCGCATCACAGATCACAAACATCAGCCGTTTTCTTTATTTACGTTAGCAGAAAGGCATGTTATTGCACCCGTAAACTGGCAAAATAAATATGTATAATTTGCCGCATAAACAAGAGTTTAGACAGTTTTTAACATTCGAAACGGTTTTAACAGTGTAATACATGTAAGTTATGAAC